GGTGGGGCTCGTGGTGATATCGATTACGTGAAATTGACGACTTGTGGGAAAGTGATGAATGTGATTGATTCTGTTATTGACAAGGGTAGGTTTATATTTCATTATTGACACGGGTGGTATATTTGTTGTTTACATGGGGTGGTGTACATTTGCTATTGACCTGTGTTTGTGAGTATATTTAGCTTTTGACATGCAGTGGTGTGTATATTTTGCTAGTGACACGGGTTGGGACTTTGTAATAACGTGGCTGGTATATGTTTTGATACTGACAAAGGTTATTGGAGCTTGTGATGTCCATGTAGGTATATTTAATATTTACAGAAGAAAGGGCATATTCTATTTATAAATATGTTTTGGTAATATTGACATGGGTTTGTGTATTGATTAACTATATTCACCTCCGACTGTATGACAGTTTTGATTGGGCACAATATATGAAATAGCAGTTCTGCTATGTCCATGAAAAGTACGATTTCACTTGGCCTTTGTTCCGTGTTATGTATAATGTGGGTGTCTCATAATGCAGGGGGGTCATCCATGGACCCCAAGACCCACATTATGGCGAGGGATGATGAATATTTTGATAATGACTTGGGTTTGTTATTTTGCTATTGACATTATGAGGTTTGTGGTATACATTTGATATTAACATGGTTTCGTGTCTGTTTATTACATACATGTGTATTTGTGTTTCTATTATACACACTGTTTAGGCCAGACCAATTTTATTTCTTGTTTTACTGATCCGCCGGTCGTATTTTGTCATGAATGAGATACAAAATAAAATTTAATTTTCCCTGCTCAAAAAATAAAATCCTCATGTTTTTATTGGCCAAAATTGTAAACTTACAAAAATAATTTTTTGATTGTTTTTTGCCCCATATAAACTTCATAAATTGCCAAAAATAAAATACTTTTAGTATTTAAAAGGAAAATTATTTTGACTAGTGATTTTTGTTTTTTATTTTTTCCCCTCCTGCCTTTAGGTTTCTGAGGACAAAAATCTATAAAACAAGAAATAAAATTGGTCTGGCCTTAGTGTAAATTTAGATAGTGATGCATGAACAATAACCCACATGGGTACTATGTGTGAGGCCCATTAGGTGTCCTCCACCATGATATTGGTGAAATGTTACTAAAAGCGCCGTAAAACCATACTCTCTCACTACAAGATTCATCATAACTTCTTTGAGTAGCATTTAGAAGCTGGTATGATGAACAAGAACAATTTTTTATGGATAGACAACTTCTTAATTGCAATGGATGCGACGTTCACTTGCTTGATAATGGTGTTAGCACCGACACTGAAACGTTGCATGCATCCCTCACTCCTGTTCAAGATTCATCATGTTAACATGCTTGAAACTTGCAAATCTTTAGCAGCCATTTACAGAGTAAATTGGGTTGTGTGCTCGGTGAGTGAGTGAGTGGGTTGGGTAATAATACTGCTTATATGTTGCTGTGAAGTTAAATGTTGGATGAATATACATGTCCATAAAGGGATGTGGGTCTCAGATGTTTACCAGGGCCGATGTGTGGCCGAGTGGTTAAAGCGTTTGTCCATCTTGCTGAAGACCCGTGTTTGATTCCCCACATGGGTACAATATGTCAAGCCCATTTCTGGTGTCCCCTGCTGTGAGGTGAAATTGGATTTAACGTCGTGCTTGAGAATATTTCGCTCATATGACGACGTGCATGCGTGTGTGTGTGTATGTGCGGCTGCTTGTACTAGCCCAGACTTAAGCTGGTTTTATAGTGCTAGCCCACTGAGATACCATGCCACAGTGAAGCATGGATACCCCACTCAGACACATTATACTGACTCCGAGCCGACCAGTCCTTGTTGTACCCATTATTGCCGAGCGCCAGTCAGGGACCAACAAGTACCATATTTTAACGTCTTTTGGTATGACACGGTCGGGGATCGAACCCGCGACCTTCCGCTCTCCGGGCGGACGCTCTAACCACTACACCATGGAGGCGGTCATGTCCCCTGCTGTGATATTGCTGGCAGCATAAAACCATACTCACTCACTCACTCAGATATTTATCACTGTCTGAAACCCACAAGCAAGGGAATTATAGATTTGGTGTTAAACAATTGCATGGTAGGCTTTCTCCAGTTGACATGTTGGTACCAAACACACTGTAGCACATACAAATTGGTACTGCTTATTGTGAAGTAAACATGACATCAACATACTAGTGAGTGAGTGAGTATGGTTCTAAGCCTCTTTTAGCAATATTCCAGCAATATCACGGTGGGGGACACCAGATATGGGCTTCACACATTGTACCTATGTGGGGAATCAAACCCGGGTCTTAAGCATGACCGGCTAACGCTTTAACCACTAGGCTTACAATTCTCCGCGTACCAACACACAATAGCAAATATGACTTGCTACTGCTTAGTGTGAAGTGAATATGAGTGAGTGAGTGAGTGGGTTTTGTTATACGTCAGTTTCAGCAATATTCCAGCAATATCACAGCAGGGACACCAGAAATTGGCTTCACACATTGTACCCATGTTGGGAATCAAACCCGGGTCTTCAGCATGACCGGTTAACGCTTTAACCACTAGCCTACCCAAAGCCCCTCAACATACCAACACACATTAGGACATATTACTAGGTACTTAGTGTGAAGTGAATTGCATGATTGATTGCTAAGTACAAGAAATGTACGTTCCAACACTCAGAAGTCACACAGAGTTTAGAGACCCAACATTAGATTAAGATCAGCAGATCAAATGTGTGCCAGTAGACATAAATCTTGTATATTTGCCAAGAATGGCCACGGATAAATTGACCACAACTTAACACGCTACTGGACAAAGCTACCAGTATTTGGTAGCCATACTGATGACTGGTATGATTGTGTGTACAATAACTGTACTTATACGTAGGGGTGAAACGGTATACCGCGGTATTAGTAGAACCTTGGTATTTCCCCTTCGGTTCGGTATACTGTAATCCTAGCCACAAATGTGGTATTTTTGGTTTTTGTAACGTCCTTTTATCAACCTTCATAAACTTTTTCTAAAATGTCTAGGAAATCATTTTGTCAAAATCTGTGGATTTCTTTGCTTGACGGCCACTATTTTCCTGGAAGTAAGTTCTCATATCCTGAACCAAAATGGACCGAACCGAAGGCCTTGTACCGCAGTGTGTATCGTACCGTGGTAAGAAGCGTACCGTTTCACCCCTAGTTATGAGCTCAGTGCCCATTGAAACTGGACAGATCTGGAGATCTTTTTTATTAAGTACATTGGTGTGTGACTTAGGCATAGTCAATTTGTATTTTCTTTTAAAGCAGTTGATTAACCTTAATGATCAGTGGTATGTTCTGAAAGTCAGCATCATGTTTTTTCAGAAAATAATGGGAGACTGCAGTTGGAGATTTTTAATATATTTTTTCTTAAAGGTCAATGGACATTTTTCTGTGATTTTAAAACTTAATGCTCATGACCAGTTGTATGATGGTAGAAAGTAGCCCAGATTAAAGTTAGTAGGTTGGTAGGTAGGTTGGTTGGTTGGTTGGTTGGTTGGATGGTAGGTAGGTAGGTAGGTAGGTTGGTTGGTTGGTTGGTTGGTAGGTAGGTAGGTAGGTAGGTTGGTTGGTTGGTTGGTAGGTAGGTAGGTAGGTAGGTAGGTTGGTTGGTTGGTTGGTTGGTACGTAGGTAGGTTGGATGGTAGGCTGGTTGGTTGGTTGGATGGTAGGTTGGTTGGTTGGTTGGTAGGTTGGATGGTAGGTTGTTTGGTTGTTTAATGGAACAGTAAGCAATATTCCAGCTGTACGGCGGCGGTCTGTGAATAAAAGAGTCTGGACCAGACAATCCAGTGATCGACAGCATGAACATCCATCTACGCAATTGGGATGAGATGACATGAGTCAACCAAGTCAGCGAGCCTGACCACCCAATCCCATTAGTAGCCTTTTACGACAAGCACGGGTTGCTGACGATCAATTCTGACCGGATTCAGATTGAAGAGATTTTTAAAGGGTATACTTCTGGTTCATGATACCCGGAATAATGATATGCCAGGGTCAGTGTCTATTTGAAGTGTTTGTTAAACATTTAGAAGTCAAAAGAACATGGATTCATGCATAAACATATTGGCATGATTGTACAAAGTCGACTTTCTTACTCATTTTTTACCTGTTGAAGGGGCAAGAAATAGCCTTGACATGTCCGCACAAGCAATAAAAAGTTTTTAACCATAAAACGTGTTATGTATTCAGGCTCAGTGTTGCTCAGATAGGAGCATGTGTCAAGTGTTAAGTTGCTTAAATGCACTTGTTTTTCACATCTATTTGTTAAAAATACAAAATATGCTGAAACATGGTTTCTTTGTGGTGTTACTTGTGAAAATCATTTGATTGATACAACAAGAAAACACAAGTACTTTCGGCAGATCATGAAATTAAAAATCTGAAATTATAAATAATAATTATAACTCATAGGTCAGCCAATTTGTATAGTAATACCGGGGTCATAGGTTGGCTATTTGTCATTTTACTGTATGTGTTTCTTTGTCATGAGGGGTGGTGGGGTAGCCTAGTGGTTAAAGCGTTCGTTCATCAAGCCGAAGAGCCAGGTTTGATTCCCCACATGGGCACAATGTGTGAAGCCAATTTCAAGTGTCCCCAGCCGTGATATTGCTGGAATATTGCTAAAAGCGAAGTAAAACTAAACTCACTCACTCACTCACTCACTCACTCACTCACTCACTCACTCACTCACTCACTCACTCACTCACTCACTCACTCACTCATAAGTGGAACCTGCGATCACAGGTTTGAATCTCAGATTTCACCTTTTTGTTTCTTGGTTTCTAAGGCACTAAATATGTCTTGTGGGTTTCACCGATGTGGTAACTGTCTAAGGCCTGCTTTACATCTCACTTTCAAACTGACATGCCATGATACAACTGAAATACTTATCCAGAGGACTTCACACCAAAACATACTCACTCATTGTCATGTACCATATGTTTCAGATGGGGAAGATCTTACTGGAGCGTTGACCACCTGAAGCCTCAGAATCTGCTGGAAGAAGATGGGTTAAATGTGTGGGCACAGTCACTGAATCGCAGCTCATTCCAGCTCACTGCCATAAAATATGGCTGTGAATGACAAACAATACCTGTTCAACAGAAAGTTTCCAAAACAGAAAATCCAAAAGACTTGAAAAGTCGTCATCTTTGAATCACCGAACAATTGCAGTAATGGTTTAAGTTTTACCAAGTATTTGAATGTTCCGTCCAAGATTATTCCGTCCATAGAGCCAGATTGTACTTCCTAGTCTTTGACCTTTTGACCTTCTGTGATAAGTAAACCCTAATCCTGGAAATGGATTCAAAATCAAGTTCAAGAGAAGTACCCCAAAATCCATCAACAACAACATCCGAAAAGATGTTGTCCAAATCCCTGTCCTTGGAGTCTTCCATTCCAAGTAGGGAAAAGCCTTTTCTTAAACGTGGAGATGCTGTGTATGCTTCTGATTCGGAAGATGAAATCAGCGAGGAAAACTTACCTGATCCAAAGTTGTTGTTTCGGAGGAACAGTGATGTGAGAAAATGTGTCAGTGTTCGGAAACCTTTACGGAATGATTCCAAAAATGCTCCTCAAAACAGAGAAGCTTTTAGGAGACAGAGAAGGTTTTCAACTCCAAACAACTCCTTTGATTTAAACAAATCCTTCAATTTTGGGTCTGAATATTCTAAAGACAAATCGGAAAGTGCTAAAGGTGTTCCATGGGCAACTGAGGGCAAAACTCTCAGTCCACGAGGAGAGAAACAGGAAGATGTGAAAAAGAGACATGTGTCTACAAATTCCGTTGTGACAGTTAAACAGAACAAAGACACTGTACCAGGAAGGACGGTGCCAGTAGGGCCGGCGCCAGACTCTCCAAGAGACCATGTGAAAAGTGTGGAAATTCCTATGTCTCCTAACCAGGTTGAAAATGGTAAAAGAATGTCCCGAGTTGAAGTGCTTCTGAGTAACAGCTTATTTAAGAAACATTTATCAAATCATGCTGATATTTTACAAAAACATACCTTGTCGTCAAGGCAATATGGTTTGCGAAAGACAGTATCGAACATTGATATTTCTTGTTTGGAACTTGGCCAGTCTGTTGTGTCCAATGTTAACAATCAAATTCAGGATTCTGGAAAATCTGAATCAGGAAAGGAGAGCACAGATTCAAAAAATGATGTCAATTCACCAAGTGCTGTTATCTCACGGCGATTGACAAAACAAATGCGAAGGACATCTATGTCTAGTCTAGACATTTCTACGATTGGAGATTTTCTCAGTTTATCACAGCCAAATTTCAAAGAAGGTCCCAGTAAGAGGAAAAAAGTTAACATCCCAACGTTTGAAGAATTTCGTAAACTTCGGAGCTTTGTCTCCAATAATCGGCGAGGAAGTGCGCAAATATCCGAGCCACAAAACCCCATGTCTTCCATGACTGGTGATGATGTTTCTGGTGCTGACAGTGTACGAGGGTTGGATACGATAACAGAGGACGACCCGTCTGAACAAGAGCTAGACCAGAACAGGTCTGTGTCAAATCTTGCCAAAACTTTAGCTCAATTCAAACTGAATAAAAGTGTGCCAGTTGCTGTAAGTACTGACAGTTGTGAAAAACATATGGAAGGGAAAGTGTCCCAAAGTGATATGAGCTGTGATACAAGGACTTCGAGAGACGAGAGAGATTTGACAGAAGAGTCTGTGAAATCTCAGGTACTTGTTTCATCAGGGATGCCATCTTGTGCAATACAGGGAGGTAACTCTGGTGCTACTAACCTGATGGATACCCAGGATGTGCAATTGGATGAAGATGTCTTTTTGGAGGTGAGATGAATTACAATATCCTTGCTCATTAAGGCTTTTGGGGGTGGTGAAGTAGCCTAGTTGTTAGTGTTAGCTTGTCATGCCGAAGTCTCGGGTTCGATTCTACACATGGAAGCAATGTGTCAAGCCCATTTCTGGTGTCCCACACCATGATATTGCTGGAATATTGCTAAAAGCAATGTAGATCTAAACTCATTAATTCTTTAAAGTTTTGGATGAATTTTGTTATTATATTCTGAAATATTGCAAGTATTTCCAAACTTGAAGTCTAATAGCATTATGTTGAATTAGCAATCACTGTCATTCTTTGTCAAAAATATAATTCAATGTAACAGTTTGCTGCTGTGAATGATATAAATGCCATGGAATTTTTAAGCTAAATATATTTTCTTTGGCTTACCAGAGCATTTTTTCAGGCTGGTAATCTCAGTTTGAGATAAACAATGGTGAAGTTTCACCTATTAACATAAAACTGATTCTGAGGTGACTTATTTAACTAAATCACCTGAGCATGGTGAGATAAAATGTTTTTACATCAATTTGTTGCATGCAGTGATAAAATCTTCCCAATTTGCCTGCCAAGGGCACATGATATGGAACACTGTCCACTGAAACACTGATGAACCATTGCCTGGATGTCAGGATGAACAGTTTGGGAGGAGGTTTTGGAGAAACTTATTTCTTTAATGCTTGTTTCCAAAATGTTCGTGATTTACTTCAAAACTGTGAATAAACAATTTGAAGAATGCGAGCATAATCTTTTTTCTTGTAATCATGAATTGTTTTTGTACTATCAAGATCATGAAAATTTGAATTTTGTACATTTGCTTACAAGACACTTGGCTGTTTGAGAGGATTAGTTGAATTTCCTCCTATAGTTCTTAGTAATGTGTCTAGTTATATAGGTATTATTTTAAAATGTGATGAATAAATTAATCTATACTAGAAGCTGACTATAAATATGATATTTATGTAGTACATTTATAAATCATAATTATCATGATGAGATACAAGATACTTAACATGCTTAAGCCATAAACTGTTCCATATGTTTCATGTATCATGCTTCTGCCTTGGAGGCTAACCACATTGTAAATTTATACTTAAGTCACAATAAGTGTATTGCAAAGCAGTGATGCTGTATCAACATTGTATTCTCAAAGAGTCGTTCAGGGTCAGTGGCAGAATACTTACTGAATACTGACTGAAGCAGTCATAAAATCACTATCTGCTTTCACTATCTGTTTTCACTATCTGCCCAACTTAAAATCATTGATGATGTGTCAAAACTATATTGCAAAAACATTGTTGTTATGTAATGCAAAAAAAAAATATTTTCTGATTAGTTCCCCATTATGTCAGTTCTGTGTTATTTATCCAGGGGAGGGGGGGGTCATTGATTTTGTACATGACATGCATGAGGGGTCACTTACTTTGTACATAAATTTTAGGGGGGTGGGGGTCATTCACATTGTGCATGCCTCTCCATAAAAATCATCATCAACCCCCCCAGCCATAATTATGAACGGTCCCTTGCAATCAATTAATTAACCTTTTGCCAGTCTTCAAGGAAGTGTCTTTTTGCAATAAGAATTATCCTTGACATGATTTATTTTAAATTCTTGTCCCTGGTTTATGTAATTCTTGGGTATGGTAGTTTGTGGATAGAAATGGTTGTCTGTAAAATAGTCTATGGATTTCTCATTTTTGTTTCTTTTTATTCATTTCAATGGATAAAGGGTGCTTTGCAGTATATAAAATAACATATCTTAAAGAAAACAATGGCTATATAGTCTGGTCAACAGCAGTACTAATGTGTCTTCATTATTCTGTGTACAGTAGACTTCTTGAAATCCATTAAGGGTAGACTGGGTCAGCTGGGTAGTGTAATGGTTAAAGCCTTCACTCACCACACCAAAGATTGAGTTCAATTCCCCAAATGATTACAATGTGTTGAGCTATATAACGGTACATTCAAACTTCTGACTTCCATTCCAGACTTCGCTTTGAAAATTATTTTGACAAAGTTTTAGATTTAAAATTTGAAATCTGAAGAAAATAACATGGAATGTCAAACAGATGGCCTTGACTCTTAGATTGGCCGCACTTCCCATGGGCTATACAATGTATTTTGTTCTCATTAAAGCCAAAGATAGATTATTTTGACAGAATCAGTCATTTCATACACTCAAAAGATTCAGGTGTCTTTGCATTGTTTTACAGAACACAGATGCAATAGACTCTGCCAGATTATGTGACCTTGCAGAGTCATATTCAAGGAAACAGCAGTCACAAGCAAAGAAGCAGTCACAAGCAAAGAAGCAGTCACAAGAAGGGAAACAATCTCAGAAGGAGGCACACGTCAGGGAGAACCTACACTCAGGGCTACAGTCAGATTCAAGGGAACAGTCACAATCTGGGCCACAGTCACGCGAGGATGTTGCACAGTCACATGACATCATATTAGCCAATAAGGATGTGAGGAGTAAAGTCAAGCCAGAAAGACTCACAGAAAATGTAAGTAGCACAATGCCATGAAATACTGTGTCATCTATTTGCTTATAGGGTCAAGAAGTCCTAAGTACTCTGTGCTAGTTGGTAGAAGGTCAGATGGTTGCAGTATCTGTCATGGCTGATGTGTCATAGGGCTCCGAAACAGGGCATCTTTCATTGATCATCATCTCAACCGTGGTTTGTCTGGGCCAGACTTGATTGTTGATTAAAGACCCTGGGCCCCTATTCTCGAAAGGATCATAGCCCTAAGATATCCTAACTTTGATCCTAGGGTCTAGGATAGGTGTCCTACCTTATTCTCGAAAAGTATCCTAGTGCTAGGATATCCTAACTTAGGACAAATACTAGGATAGGTTCTGACTTGTCCTAAGTCTATCTTTGTGGAAGTCAACATTGTGTGGTTCTTGTTTTCAACAATTTTGTTGTTGTTAAACAAAATAGCTCGCCTAAATGACATTTGAATTTACAACAATTTCACCGTTTTCAAGCTTTTTACTTCGATTTCTAGTCTTACCATTTATCTTGTAAACGAGATTGTAGTTACCCTTATATATATGTGCTTTTTATGGAATGAATCATGGGTAATATTTAGGGGAATCCCCAACTGAATGAATGTTTTTCTATCTCACCTACTGAAGAGCTCGCTATCCCAGCTAGCTCAAGTTAGGACAGGGATAGGATCGTTTCGAGAATGGGTCTTATCCTAACAGTAGGATGTCCTAACTCCTGTCCTAACTAGTTAGGATCTGTCTTAGCTGGGACACTTTCGAGAATAGGTACACTGGTGTAACTGAAATATTGTTGTGTGTGGTGTGGAACACCACTCTCACTCAGCCATCTGCAGGCACCCCTTCTTCGAGGGGCGGTGGGGTGCTTCGTGGTTAATGCGTTCTCTCGTAGGGGTGGGCGATAATACCGGTTAACCAGTATATTGCAATTTGAACTTCACAATACGATAAACGAACCGGTTCTCCCGATACAATCGGTAATTTTCATCATTTAGTCAAAACTACTAATACCATTTCTATTTCCTTGATATTATTATACATTAATAGTCTTGAGAATGTTTATTGGTCATATAATTGCATTTGCGTGACTTTTAAACAATTTAAATAATGAAATAGATTGGTACCGGCACTCGTAAGGATAAACAAACCAAAATGGCGGATGCCACTGCAGATGCTTTTTTTCGAGTTCCAAACTTTAGAGCGAAGTCTTCAATTTGGAAACATTTTCAATTGATCTCTTGTAGAATCACATCAGAGTCCTGACAGTGGCCAGTGGCATCGTTTCAAAAGAAACTTTCATTACCTTAACCCATGTGTTACACTTTCACAATATATTGCAATACATATTGCAATACGCCAACACATATCGTAATACATCGCAATACGAACATTTCGGCAATACCCAACCCTATTCTCTCGTCACACCGAAGTCCCGCGTTCGATTCTCCACATGGGCTCAATGTTTGAAGCCCATTTCTGGTGTCCCCTTCTGTGAAATTGCAGGAATATTTCTAAAAAGCAGCATAGAACTAAATTCACTCACTCTCACCTTCTTCGAAAGACTAATTACTGCTGTGTTATTTTGGCAGGATACAATCATACCCCAGTGGTATGTTTCTTCAATAGAATGTAGGGTCATATTTCACAATTTGTTGGAGTTCAATGAATTGAACTGATTTTCTTATCTTGACATAATGCTTTGAGTAGGGGAACTGAACTGGGAACCCAGACAGTATATCCAGATTTTCAGTTTGTAGCTGTTGTATCCGTTGTCCCAAAGATTACTCCCAAGCTTATAGGGAGTATTGTGTACACATCAGGTCTGTTTTCTAAGGAACTGTTGCTGAGGCTCTGTGTTCCTAGAACCAGTGCCAGATATGTACAGAGGTTTGAAGTTTGTATCTTTAATCTGTGAACAGGGTGGTGGGGTAGTGGTTAAAGCGTCAGCTCATCACACCAAAGACCTGGGTTCCATTCCCCACATTAATACAAAGCGGATTTCTAGTGTTCTGAAGCAGTGTTATATGTTACTGCACACATGACAGTGCCTCATAATTAAGCTATCTGTGAACAAAAGTTTTCCCTTGTATAGAGTGCCCTTAAATGTTTCAGGGTCGGTGGGGCCTAGTGGTTAAAGCGTTTGCTTGTCACGCTGAAGACCCGGGTTCGATTCCCCACATGGGTACAATGTTTAAAGCCCATTTCTGGTGTCCCCCGCTGTGATATTGTTGGAATATTGCTAAAAGCGACATAAGACTAAACTCATTCACTAACTTAAAATGTTTCAAATGATCCTAGGATGGATTTTGGACTGAGAAATTGAAGAAACAGGGGTATGGTGCTGTTTGTATGGTCAATGTGAAAAGGAAGGAACTTCATCCATCATGATGCCTGATGGGGATTCAGTAGAAGAATAGATCCTGTGTACTGCATGCATGATGCAGGAGGATTTGTTGACTGTGTGACACTTCCTGGTTGTCCGATAGCTGATAACTGCTCTTCAACAACCCATGCTTGTTGTAAGAGGTGACTCATGAACTGGATCAGGTGGTCAGGCTCGCTGGCTTGGTTGATACATCATTGTCATTGTTTCCCAATTGCGTAGAACGATGCTCATGATTTTGATCACTGGATTGTCTGGTCAGACTTGATTATCTACAGACTGCTGCCACATAGCTGGAATATTGCTGAGGGTGTCATTAAACAAAACAACAAACAAAAACAACATAATTATAACTGGACATTACTTATTCAAAGAATTTTTCTGTTCCTGTTTTTGCTTGGATGAAACCACTCCATTTAGAGTCTCTAGAGTGAGTTGGGTTTTACGTTGCTTTTAGCAATATTCCAGCAATATCATGGTGAGGGACACCAGAAATGGGCTTCACACATTGTACCCATATGGGAATTCGAAACCGAGTCTTCGGCGTGACGAGCCAATGCTTTAACCACTTGGATACCTAACTGCACCGACTCCATTTAGAACTTAGTTTGGAAATATGTTTGTAGTTTCATTCATGTTAATCTGAGGTCAGGTAAACAATTTCTAATATCTAAGTCCCTCTAAATGCAGCGTTGTCACGATATGGCTGAAATATTGCCGATGTGACGTTAAATAATAACTCACTCACTCTAAATGCAGCATGTTATATCAGGAGAATGCATGTAAGATTGAAGGATCAGCAGAAAAACGTTGGGTGATCAAGATATCAAGATCATATTTTTTTATCATTCAGAAGTACAGCTTTAATGTTTTGAGGAGTGGTCTGTTTTGTGGAACAAGTACTCATAAGCTTTACTTCAGGTTATTAAGCTTTTACAAACATTGACAGTTTCGTGAACATTTTAAGACAGGTCTTGGGCCGTCTTGGGGATTAATGATAGAAGGATTGTTGTGTTGGTGGGAATAATGTCATTGTTTCATAAAGTGCATTTGTGCAGACAAATGGATGTCAGGAACACGATCTGGTGACTTGGCTGTCTCAAGTGTTGATCCTGTGACACAGTGTCACGGATTATTGTATGAATCTGTTCCGACAGTCGGCTAGGGCGGACAGTGACATCAGGTCACCTGACACCTGCACGTGGGACAGGGAATGTGGCTGTTATGTCACAACCCTCGCACCACTGACGCAAGACCGTCATGTTCAATAAACATTACTGTAGGTTTTGTGGGCAGTGAACAATTCCACATCAGACGTCACTGGCTGGGTGTAATTATTGATGTTTCGCAATTTACAGTCGATTTTGTTGGACAAGATAAATAATAAGGTTTTGAGCAGTTTGCCCTGTTTTTTGCTTTTTGAACCTGTTGAAAGGGTGTATTAATTGTTTTTGTAATGTGACCTTTGTAGGATGTTTGTCTGGAAATTGTCTGGAGTTTTTCTGTCGCTGATGGTGTAGGCGATGTTTTAGCACATTGGGCTGTTAACTTCCCTTATCTGCTAAGGGTCTTTGATGGGTACATGTGTACCTATGCACAGGTTGGATTAAAATGGATTAAGTGTAGCACTTGATACAGGACATCAGTACCTGTAACTCTACATCTTTCTCTCCTCCAGTATGTGGTTCGGATGGTGGGATAGCACTGCTATAGAAGTTTTTGCTGTGTCTAAGAACCTGTGAAGGTCTGGGTTAGAATATTGATCTTCAGTAACCCATGCTTGTTGTAAGAGGCAACTAACGGGATCAGATGGTCAGACTCAGTGACTTGGTAGACATATGTCATCGGTTCCCAATTACGCAGATCGATTCTCATGCTGTTGATCACTGGATTGTCTGGTCGAGACTGGATTATTTACAGACCGCCGCCATATAGCTGGAATATTGCTGAGTGCAGCGTAAAAGTAAACTCACTCACTCACTGAAGAGCTATTGAACAGTTGTAATGCAAGTATTTTTTTTTTTCATTTAAATCTTTTATTTCCCATTTCCATGTTACAAGGGGCGGTGGGGTAGCCTAGTGGGTAAAGCGTTCGCTCGTCACGTCGAAGGCCCGTGTTCGATTCCTCACATGGGTAAAATGTGTGAAGCCCATTTCGTGTCCCCCGTGATATTGCTGGAATATTGCTAAAGCGGTGTAAAATCAAACTCACTCACTCACTCCATGTTACAAATACAGGATCGCTTGTCCAATAAGCGTTTGAAAGAAATATCATGTACAGTTTATGTTCTACATTTACATTTCACTGCAGAATTGTTACAGATGTCGTGTACATTGCATAAAATACAATGTGTAATGCAAGTATTGTTTGATGGTGATACTTACACTCGATTACCATTGCTTCAATCAAGGATTAACTAGACTTAAATTTACATATTATTTAATTAAAGCGTAACCTGATCCTCGCAGTAACAATTGTTATGACATGCACAGATGTAGTCAATAGTTCTAAACGTGTGACGAATTGTCGTGACACGCCAAGATGAAGCATATAGTCACATGTGACATTTGTCATGACATGCCTGATAAAGTGTATAGTCACATGTGACAATTCTAATGACATGCCCTGATGAAGTCAATTGACCTGAGTGACAATTATCGCGACACACAGTCTGATGGTTAAGTTATAAACACTACATATAATATAAAGCCATACTAAGTTATTTGGTGGCCTATTTAATAGTAGTGGTCCGATTAATTGAAATAATCGAAGATTGGTCGCAGTGACTAAACGACCAAGCAATCGATCATGTTTTCTCATAATCGAACACAAACAATTCTGGAACACTTGTTTTCATTAACAGTAATTTTCACTAGGTTGGTTTTGTCTGTTACATTTCATAAGCACTACAAGCTCGTTCCAAGTCATGATTGAATTTATCTTAAAGACTCTAAGAAATTCATGTTCCTAACATACTAGTCATCCTTTAAAGATGTGAAATTTTGCCAAAACCCCAAAGAACTACATGTTTTTTTCCGTATTTTTTTGTGTATTAACAAATTTCATAAATGGCGCTAACCAATTATTTTCGATGATTGATCGGTTGTAATGAACCAATCATCAATTATGAGATTTTAACCAATTCCCAACACTACTATTTAATCACCGTCCCATCAATAATGATTTTCAGTTAACACCATACACTGTCTTCTCCTGCGTGATGACAGTCATGTGATGCCAACCCGTTTGTATCTAAAATAGTCGTCCAAGGGTTCACCCGAAGTGGCGTCCTGTTGAGGGTCGATCAGATCGTAACCGAAAGATGTATTTTATCAGAGTACATGATTTTGATAAGATTACATGATGTAAGAAGGTATATACTGTGATATTGATCCAAACTGTAGACTGTAAGTGCGTCATTGATGAACACGAATGTGACTTTCGATATCTTGGATGGAAGCGCATAACCATAAGCCCTGTCAAGTATAATCACGAGCAGACAACGTAAATCTATTGTTACACGAACAGATTCATGTGATCTACACAGCAGATCTGTGGTAATAATGATGGATTCGGTCGGGCTCAGGTGTGTACTGGTGCACTACTATATTTAGCAGTGTACCGATTGATCAGGCACCCATGACCCAGTTGTCTAAGATGGTCCAATACATGCTTGAAAGCTGTGACTTGTTAGCTCTAAAAATGTACCCATGGTTTTTTATAAAGTGGTTAACTTCCGCAACCTGTATTAACTCAGGCTTTCCTCCATCAGTGAGTGTGTGAGTTTAGTTTTACGCTGCTTTTAGCAATATTCCTGCAATAACACGGCGGGGGACACCAGAAATGGGCTTCACACATTGTACCCATGTGGGGAATCGAAGCCGGGTCTTTGGCGTGACGAGGGAACACTTTAACCACTGGACTACCCCACCGCCCCATTAAGAACTTATTTTTAATATAAGTTTGTAGTTTTCAGTTGTGTTAATCTGAGGTCAGGTAAACAATTTCTTAAATATTGTTTTCGACATGACAAGCGAAATCTTCAACCAATAGGCTAACCCATTGCCCCTCATCCCTCATCAAGCTATAATTATGTGATATAAAGGAATGAAAAACTGTTCAAAGCAATATAAAACCAGGTCACTCACTCACCCAATCCCACTTGTAGTTCATGGTGTGGCGGGATAGCCAAGTAGTTAAAGTGAGTGAGTGAGTTTTGTTTTTCGCCGCACTCAGCAATATTCCAGCTATATGGTGGCAGTCTGTAAATAATCGAGTCTGGACCAGACAATCCAGTGATCAATAGCATGAGCATTGATCTATGCAATTGGGATACGTTGACATGTGTCAACCAAGTCAGCGAGCCTGACCACCCAATCCTGTTAGTCGTCTCTTACGACAAACATGGGTTACTGAAGATCAATTCTAACCCGGATCTTCATGGCTACAGTCAGACATAAACTCAATATAGCTCACATTCGTTGGCGCTGATTTATCAATGACCATCACCTGACAACATGTGATGAAGACTTCGTTCATATCAGATTTTGGGTTTGGCATGATAGATATTTCCATGCATTTTGATTGCCTGTATAAATGAATGATTTTTGTGATGAAATATGACCATCCAGATAATTAATGACTAATTAGTTATTAGCAAGATTAGGCAGAACTCTTAGGGTACCTGAGGCTGCTTTTGATATTGTATACCTTACATATACTGACCATATACTTCTAAAGTTTTCCTTTGGTGTAAACTAATGAAAAATAACACAGTTTATTAGTAAATAGCAGCAGTGCTTATCAGGTGACTGAAGAGTTTACTGGTAAATAACCTTCAGTCAATAAATGTTCTTCAGGAAGGTGCAAAACAGTAGAAAAATAAAGGACACTGAAGACATGTAATCAAATTTTGCGATTTAATTTCATTTGGAGTGTTGGTGGATATGAATCAATACTTGATTATTTGAATTTTTCATCCATCATCTAACTTTTAACTGGTCTGTGAAATCCTTACTCTTCTCTTGATGACATGGCCTTTTACAGATAACCTGCATCCCATTTCAGTCAAAAAAAATACTTATTGTCTTCTTCCTGTTTTCAGGTGCAGTCGGTGTTGCGGTCTACTTCTGATGTCTCCATGTTGTCCGAGGGTCACAAGAAGCGGCTGGAGAGAAGACAGCGTCCCTACAAGAGTGAGCCTTTTGCTGATGCCGAAACCTTCGGGAATATGACCCATGGCTACAGACATGGTGAGCTGCAAGCGATGCTTAGGTTAATTTAGTGCCTGCTAGCACCACAACAGTCTTGAGTCATTGTTAAACATGTCCGTGAAGATCTGGGTTAGAATTTGTCTTCAGTAACCCATGTTTGTCGCAAGAGGCGACTAACAGGATCGGGTGGTCTGTCAGGCTTGCTGACTTGGTTGACACGTGTCATCGCATCCCAATTGTGCAGATCGATGCTCATGCGGTTGATCACTGGATTGTCTGGTCCAGACTTGATTATTTACAGACTGATGCCATATAGCTGAAATATTGCTAAGTGTGGCGTTAAACAACAAACAAACAAATATTGCTAAACAGCATTGCTGCAGAATGATTTCAGTATTACAATCCACAATATTTCTGGTGTTATTTTATGACAGAAAAGTGTCCCCATGCTGATTCCAGACCCGTTCTTCAAGCCTTTAAATGAACTTTGCATTGTCTTTGTGCTTAGTTTGTGCAATAATGGCACTACAAATGGGCTGTTGTTATTATTTGATTATTCCAGGAAAGATCTATGCTGGTCTCATGACCATTAATTTGATCACATAATCACATATATTTATGTATTATTTTTCCAACAATGAAGTTCAGTTAATATACTCAAAACTGCAAAATCGATGCAAAATATACTTGTGATGAATCATCCATATTATAATGTCACACAAGTTGGATGGATTTGACATTTACTCTTTTCTCTAAAAGTTTAAATACACTTTTTCTGCCAAACTTATCTTGCCACACATACTTTGAATATTGTTAAGACAAATTTGGTTTTGTGAGTAATAATTTTACATGTAAGTATTTTGAAATGATATTACCAGCTATGATTCAGAATGAAGATCTTTTCTATAAATATTAGCTTCTGAGGTGATGTGGCCATTAAATAATATTTTTTAAGCAGAATTGAATGGAAACTAGATCTGATTTACATATAAGGAATAAATATATGGATGTCATCTCTGTTATGTTTGAGTAACATGCTGTCTGTGAGTATATTCTGACAGATTTGAGAACAACAAATGTATCAAGGTGGCAAAGATGGGCACTCAAGTGAGTGAGTGAGTGAGTTTAGTTTAACGCCACACTCAGCAATGTTCCAGCTATATGGTGGTGGTCTGTAAATAATTGAGTCTGGACCAGACAATCCAGTGATCAACATCATGAGCATTGATCTATGCAATTGGGGTGCGTTGACATGTGTCATCCATGTCTGAGTCATCCATCCGAGTCTGACCACACGATCCTGTTAGTTTCCTGTTAGTTTCCTGCTCAAGACCGATTCTAACTGGGATGTTCACGGGTGCAGATTCTCAACAGGTGAAGCCAGAGTGTTTTATAGGTTCTGATAACAGTGTACGAATGTAAGGAAGAAAGTAGTAGAGACAGGCAATAAACTCAGATTGGTAATGGACAAAAGGAAGGCCAGGATAATTTGCACTGATTGGTGATAGAGATGAACTAATGGAAGCAAAACTTAATAGCCCAGATGAATTGAAACCCAAATAGTTAAATCATGTCCCAGATACTAGACAGATATATTCTCTAGTCATGGTTCATGGATGGTTTTATCTCTCTTATTGGGGGACGGTGGGGTAGCCTAGTGGGTAAAGCGTTCACTCGTCACGCCGAAGACTCGAGTTCGATTCCCCACATGGGTACAATGTCTGAAGCTCATTTCAGGTGTCCCCGCCGTGATATTGCTGGAATATTCCTAAAAGGGCAGTAAAACCAAACTCACTCACTTACTCTCGTTTTTGTGTGGGTTATTTCCAGCCCACCCATATCTTTATAAACATCCCACCGGGCTGTGTCCTGTGTACAGTCTACATCATTCAGTTTGACCGTCAATCAGAATTTGTACACTCATATGCTTAGAAAATTAGAATGTACTAAAGTTAAAAAAATAATATTTCTATAATATTTGTATAAACTCACCAGAAAGCATTAATTATACCATATTGCTCTTCCAAACTCACAGGAAGTATTCACACATCCCTCTGCTTAAAGGGAATACCCAATTTGCTCCGTTAAATAGATTGTGGGTACAAATACATCCCGATAATTTGATATCGGAACACACACATTATGAAGGAGTAACCTGCTGGAGGGGTAGGCAATATGAAGTGAGCATTTTCTCAAAACGCCATTGTTTGATATATGTCACTATGGGTATCATTAACAGGAGAGGTAGGTCATCAATTCTGACCACTTTACATAATGTGGTCATGCTGGTTTGGGGATCTCTAAAACTAAGACAATTATAAGGCCTCTGATGCTCCACTAGTAGGGAATATGACATGGTTGGCCCGAAGACAATGTACTGTAAACACTCTCTAGTTATTATTATTATTATCTTTTTATATAGCGCCGAGTTCCAGCTAGGCTGCTCACAGCCGCTTTGTTTTACCGTCGATCATAGGATGTCAATCTCAACGGCACCTCGTATTATCAATCTCAACTCCCTAGGGATCATACAACTCTTGCAGCCACTAGGCGCACTGAGTTAATGTGGCCTTCCCATCCTAACGAGGTACCCATTCACAGCTGGGTGGACTGGGACACATAGTCACGGTACTTTGTCCAAGTTTACTGCACGTTGCTGTACCCGCAACTAGGTGCCTGGACATATTCATGTGGCCTCCATCTGGTCATTTACCAATGGATTCGTGGGTTCCTTTAAGTGCACGGGTCTGTGTGCTGTACCCTAGGGGTTGTGACAACACTGAAAGAATCTGCACACAAAGTTGACTCTAAGGTTTTTACACCCGGTCACAGGTGGGCTTGATCCCAGCACCTCAAGCTCTGAGTGGATCACTACACTAGCGCTTTAGACAGCTCGCCCACCATGCCCCTTTTGATGGACTAGTTGTAGGACACTTTAATGTGGCCACAAATAATCCTAATACCGGTATACACCTTCAACACACATTTCAGTTTCTTCTGGAATTGATATAAAAAGCAAGGTTCTATGGACATGTGATGTTCTCATGATCATCCCACCTGAAGTTCATCAGAAGGACATGTTCGTGATCAGACGTATGGAGATTGAAAGAACTCGGCCTATGACACTGTCAGAATCGGGCATTGTATGTTTTCACCTACCCAGAAATGCGAGACAGTTTCTGCAATCAAGTTGTGAAAATGGTGCCAAGCGTCATAACATTTCTGTCATGTATTCACAGCATGACAGCGTGGCATGTCAACCCTGTTTGTTATTTATTGATAACATAAGAAGCCTTTGTAAATTGGTCAGTGTTTCAATTAGTCTGCTGCGATTGTGTGGGCTTTCAGCGAGACTTTTGTAATATTTAGGTTAGTTTTATAGTTCTGGGACAGCATGCCGACTGGATATGATACAGAAACTTGATGTTAGACTGACTGACTGAGTTTAATTTTACGTCGCTTTTAGCAATATTCCAGCAATATCACGGTGAGGGACACCAGAAATGGGCTTCACACATTGTACCCATGTGGGGAATCGAACCTGGGTCTTCGGCGTGACGAGCCAATGCTTTAACCACTAGGCTACCCCAAAGCCCCACTTAATGTTAGAGCCCATTTCTGGTGTTCCCCACCATGTTATTGCTGGAATATTGCTAAAAGCAGCGTACAACTAAACTCACTCTCTCACACTTACTTGATGTTAGAGCTTGGTCAAGTACTTATTACATGAAACTCTCGGATGTCAATGGTGTTGCAGACCTATGAAGATCGGACTTCGAATAGGTCTTCACCCATGATTGTCGTTAGGGACGACTAACGAAATCGGGTGGTCAAGCTCGCGGACTTGGTTGACACATGTCATTGTATCCCAATTGTGTAGATCGATGCTCATGATGTTGATCACTGGATTGTCTGGGCCAAACTCCATTATGTACAGACTGCCGCCATATAGCTGGAATATTGCTGAGTGCGGCATTAAACAACAAACAAACAAACAAACAAACAAAGCAATGGTGCTGCAAACCAAGCAATAGAAAACGGAGGAATTAGCAATTCAAGGGGACACAACTCTGATGCAGTGAAACTTAGATACTCCTGCCCGTGCCTATTTTGATGTTATTTGAAAAGATATAGCATCTTTAATATTCTTGACAGATAGTATTGACAAGAGGAATTTTTATGATATAGTTGACAGTTAAACATGATAGGGCAAGATCTGGAATAGATATGATCCATGACTGTTAGATGAAATGACATGTCACATGTACCCTTGTGTCATGTAAGTCGATCACTTAAGAACTGTCGCTGAATTTTCAAAGTTATATTCATATAATCTTATTTTCAAATCTCTTATCTCTAAACCTGTTTATTTATGTCAAACATTTCCAAAATCCAGGTATTTTTACTGCTTTTCACAATCGCGGCATTGCCACCCTCTCACTGTCAACATAAGTGACCAAGAAAGCTACGTCACACAAGTTCGATCATATGATTGGCTGGCTTGTCGCGTAAACAGGATGACTTGTATGGACAATCTCTTGTGTCAAATTCAGAGTTAGACTAGTCCCAAGTAATTTTATGGTATTTATGTCCATGAAACGTTCATTTTATTTTTCAACACTTCTGAAAACGATGAAAAGTCACAAATATTCAGCTTATATACAAGTATTATGCAGGGAGTTATTCTTCAGGCTCATCGTGGCAGGCACCAAACCTCAGAATGTCGACAAACACCACGAACTGGCTTGCAGAAACGTAAATGTGTTCTGTGCTGACATGTAGGGTGGGTACATTGTGCCAAGGTTGTATTTATCAATGAGGTAATAGCTCGAACCTCATCAGGTACAAATTGACGGAAATTCTCAAAAAGCATTAAGTTTTCTATAAGAAATGGCCCTTACTTGTTTCCAAAGTTTTAAATTTTGACAAGGATATCACGTGTCATGTTACATGTAGACCAGAAACGTAAACAAAAAGGAGACAGGTGTGCTGTCAATTTACAACGTGTGAAATAAATACTGTTTACATTTTATTTGAGCTAATAAAGTTACATTATTGATCTAGGGTTAAAAAGTAGTTGTTTGTTGAATATAAGCTATAACTTCCGTTTGGTAACTTGACACGAAACATTTTCTGGTCCAAACGAATAAAAGCGGTGTCACCAGAAGATCAAAGCTGCAGATATCGTAAGTTATCGCTACGTATCGCGACAATTACCATTCAAAATGGGCGATTGAAGTTACATGTCGATCGAACTTGTGTGACTTGACGATACTATGTGTTGGCAGTTATTTGCATAAATCTAAGTGTCGTGTACTTGACAGATATGATAGGATATGAAAGATCCGTCCATCCGTCTGTCCATCCATCTTTCCATCCAGGTTAAAGGTTTTGTATGTCACTACCAAACACATATGAAGCCCTTGGTGTCCCCCACCATGATATTGCCAGAATATTGCTAAAAAAAGGTGTAAAACCATACACACCCCATCATTCTGTCATCCATCCATCCATCTATCCATCCATCTATCCATCCATCCATCCATCCATCCATCCAACCAGCCAACCAACCAGCCAGCCAACCAACCAACCAACCAACCAACCAACCAACCAACCAACCAACCATCCACCAACTCACCCATCCATCCATCCATCCATCCATCCACCCATCTCACCAACCCACCCATCCATCCATCCATCCACTCACCAATCCACCCATCCATCCATATCCATCCATCCATCCATCACAAACAAAATGGTTTGGTGTCACGAGGGGGGATGGGGGAAAGGAGGAGATGTTCCTTTCAATTCATTGGAAAAATTGTTTCAGTCAGTGTAAAAAGTTTTCTCACAAAAAATTTCGGTCAAGTCCTCTTTGTATTACAACCATCCCTTAAAATCTGTAATTCTATCCCTTTCTGTGCACAATTTTTTTTAAAAGTTCTAGAAACCTGACTACCCTCACCACTCCTGAAATTTTAATTGCCATCTTTGTCTTGACAATAACAGAAGGAAAGATGTAACTTTTCAATAATTGTAATCAAACTGAGTGATGTGGTTGATGACAGATAGCTGTGGGGCCACTAACACTACTGATGCGACCGAGAAATTATCTTTACACACCCCAAATACAGACATGGGAGTAATTGCTGCAGTAGGATCCTAAAAAACATCTGAGTGATGGCTGAAATATTTTCTGATGTAATGTTCCAGCTATTGTCTAAGCACTGTTGTTATCTATGTGGATGTTAGCGACAACCCTTGGGATGATTCGCCATTAGGGAATGTGGGATGGGCGGCCCTTCCCATGACATGAACTCATTCCAGGGTCTAGTATGGAAGATGGTCAAGTGATTTACATAACATGCTACATCGCACATGTGTTTACAACTCATCTTGATGATTCAGAGGGGAAATAACTGATATTAGTTGTTTTATCTGCAAGAATATAATGATGTTTTGAGTTCTCTGATATTTGATTGGAGGAGTGTTGAGGTACTGGAGGAACATTCTGGGTAATTACGTCCCCAGGAACCTATGCTTCTTCGGGGCAGTGGGGTGGCCTAGTGGTTAAACCGTTTGCTCATCATGCCATCATCAGGACTGGGTTTGATTCCTTTCATGGGTACTATGTGTAAAGCTTATTTCTGTTGGCCCCGGGCGGTGGGGTGGCCTATTGGTTAAACCATTTGCTCACCATGCCATAGACCTGGGTTTGATTCCTCTCATGGGTACCATGTGTAAAGCTTATTTCTGTTGTCCCCGGGCGGTGGGGTGGCCTATTGGTTAAACCATTTGCTCACCATGCCATAGACCTGGGTTTGATTCCTTTCATGGGTACTATGTGTAAAGCTTATTTCTGTTGTCCCCGGGCGGTGGGGTGGCCTATTGGTTAAACCGTTTGCTCACCATGCCATAGACCTGGGTTTGATTCCTCTCATGGGTACTATGTGTAAAGCTTATTTCTGTTGTCCCCGGGCGGTGGGGTGGCCTATTGGTTAAACCGTTTGCTCACCATGCCATAGACCTGGGTTTGATTCCTCTCATGGGTACCATGTGTAAAGCTTATTTCTGTTGTCCCCGGGCGGTGGGGTGGCCTATTGGTTAAACCATTTGCTCACCATGCCATAGACCTGGGTTTGATTCCTTTCATGGGTACTATGTGTAAAGCTTATTTCTGTTGTCCCCGGGCGGTGGGGTGGCCTATTGGTTAAACCGTTTGCTCACCATGCCATAGACCTGGGTTTGATTCCTCTCATGGGTACCATGTGTAAAGCTTATTTCTGTTGTCCCCGGGCGGTAGGGTGGCCTATTGGTTAAACCGTTTGCTCACCATGCCATAGACCTGGGTTTGATTCCTCTCAGGGGTACCATGTGTAAAGCTTATTTCTGTTGGCCCCGGGCGGTAGGGTGGCCTATTGGTTAAACCGTTTGCTCACCATGCCATAGACCTGGGTTTGATTCCTCTCAGGGGTACTATGTGTAAAGCTCATTTCTGTTGTCCGGTGGGGTTGAATATGTTAAAAGTGTTGTGAAACCTTGATCCAAGTAATGACCCATGTAATGATCCAAGCAATGATCCACTCAGTGGTTTATACAATAATTCAAGCAATGACCCATTCAATGATCCAAGCAATGATCCCTTCAGTGGTTTATACAGTTATTCAAGCAATGACCCACGCAATGATCCAAGCAATAATCCCTTCAGTTATTCATACAATGATTCAAGCAATGACCATGCAATGATCAAAGCAATGATCCAAACCATTATCCAAGCAGTTATTCAAGCAATGATTCAGCCAGTGATCTATGCAACAATCCATACAATGATCCAAGCTTTGATCCATGCAGTGATCAAAGCAATGATCACTCAATCACCTCCTGTCTGATCAAGGCCAGGATGCCTTATAGCAGGCTTGTCACATTACAGGCTATCCAGCATGTACATACAGCAATTTGAATTTGATGCTATGTAAGTTGTTGTATTTTATTTCAAAAGAAGTCAAATAACACTTCATTCATGAATGAATGGTGCATGGCATTGTATCCCGATTTCATTAATTGATGCTCATGACGACAATCACTGGACCGACGCTTGACTCAATTATTTACAGACTGCTGTGATATAGTTTCAACGTAACCAAAAGCAACACACAAAACTGCTGAGTTATCAAAAAATGTTTGACAATTTATGGTACATACTGCGTGTACACGTGAACGCGGAAAGGGACGCAGGCTGTTGTCAGTGACAACCCAACCTGTGTCATTGCCAAACCATGACCTGCTTACCGCAAAAAATGTACAACTTGAAAATCGTTAAAATTTATACACGCACACTGACAATGTGACCATTTGAAGAGGCACACGTTTTATATCCACGTGATAAACAGGACATGGAATGCTTTGACATCTTATCCTCTTTGGTGGATGACATATTGTGAATCAATTAGTCTCAGCTTTCTTCCCTAAGCTTTTTTTCATGTCCGATTCTTTGCAATAGATCATGCTCAGTCAGGCGATGAAGTGATCGATCAAATGATTGATTGCTGAATGCAGCTGATGAACTAGTTTTTCAACATCATAGTTTTTACTGAAATGTGGAGAACAGGTGTGAAAAATGTATTGATAAGATTCTGTTTTGAGAGTTCTGTCTACGAGACGTTTTAAATATTTTTCGTGAATTTCTTTTTATTCTTGGCAAATTTTGAATTCTAGTGTCATTCAGACATTCTTTTGGTTACTTATTAGGAAAACACAATTATAAATGCATGATTTATGTATCCATTCCCACACAAACATTAAAACATTAGGCAGAAAACATTCTAACTCATTGTTGGTGTGTATCATAAACATGCCCTAAATTTAGTTGGCGGGGGACACAAGAAATGGGCTTCACATTGTACCCTTGTGGGGAATCGAACCTGGGTCTTTAGCCTGGTAAGTTAACGCTTTAACCACTAGGCTACCCTACCACCCCCCACACTTTATCAGAACACGTTTAACACGTGAATAATAAAGTGCAACAGAACTAAACAAATCACTTTAACCACTAGGCTACAACATTTATCATTTTTAAGTTATCGTTGTATGTGTTTCTGTGTTGTAGGTGGGCGTGGACCCTTCCAGTCTACCCCCCAGAAAGATGTACTCTCACTGCCAGGAAGTGTGTCCGGCTTATCAGACACTCTCAGCTATCCCAGCCTTGAGGAGCTTCAGGAAGGGGAGGCAACTGAGGTAGGAGTAAATTCTTCACAGATTTGTTTTCTGAATGTCCCATGTGACCGATGTGCATAAAGATCCGCAAATTTTACATAAGAAAAATGGAAATGCATTTCACTACATGCTTCAAAAATTATTAAAAACAGAAATAGAGACACTTATCAAGCACTTTCCTCTTCTATGATGAACTTTTTGTGAAGTTACTGAGTTGTTTTCATTGATATGAATGTTGTTTACAGCAGGGTGAAACCCAACTCACTCACTCTACCCATGAAGATCTTCGTTAGAATTGATCTTCAGTAACCCATGCTTGTCATAGGAGGTGACTAACGGGATCGGGTGGTCCCGCTCGCTGACTTGGTTGACATATGTCATCGTATCCCAATTGTGTGGAACGATGCTCATGCTGTTGGTCACTGGTTTGTCTGGTCCAGATTCGAATATTTACAGACCGCTGCCAATATAACTGGAATATTGCTGAGTGCGGTGTAAAACCTCACTCACTCACTCACTCCTTGCTTGATCTTTCAGCTTGAGAGTGACACCTCCTCTGAAGGGACGTCCAAGACACGAAGCAATGTGAGCACTACCAGCAATGACAGTGGGGTAATAGGCGGTGCTGATGGGTCACATGACCTCTCGTTTGAAACTATCTCCGTTGACAGCCCAAACAGCAGCCTCAACAACCTATTTCCCCGATTGGACCGTGCTGGCATTTATTCAGACAATGAAATCAAGAAGAAACAACGACACTCAAGTAGTCCACAGACTGGTGAGACTGAGGTAGGTCAAGGTCACTAAATGTCAAGGTCATTGAATATCAAGGTCATTGAATGTCAAGATTAACCAGACAAGTATGGCAGGCATAGGGTGCTGAAGACCAATTCTAACCCAGATCTTCACAGATATTTAAAACAAAAGATTTTTGCTATGTATTTCATATCTACATGACCATTAACAAGAACTTTTATATTGTTTCTGAATCATAGTGAGACCTGTGAATACCCGGGTTAGAGTTGGTCTTCAGCAACCCATGCTTGTCGTAAGAGGCGACTAACAGGATTGGGTGTCATTGTAGCCCATTTGCATAGATTGATGCTCATGATATTGATCACTGGATTGTCTGGTCCAGATTATTTACAGACCGCCGTCATATATTTCTGAGTGCGGCATTAAGCAACAAACAAACAAATGAGTCATAGTCTAGTTTTATTAGTTTTATTTCAATGCTACACCGAATCACACTCCGTGTGTTGGAGGTAAAACTAGGTCACATGGTTGTGGGATTCTCACAATATCATGTCACCTTCGCACAAAACTGTATGTGTTGCTTACATGGACACAGATATGATCCGTAATGCATATTCATTTGTGTGAGCATGACCAATGATCTTTGAGACAATCGTCAAGGAAACAGAAGATACTTCTGATGTGTAAATATCCACATGTAAATCAGTGGTGAAAAGGAAGTTATCAAAGCAACCAATGAGAGTGGATGTTACGATTCTATTTACGTCCAATCACAATTCTTGTTTTAAAGTGGAATATAACACAGTCTGTCTCACTACTCCTTTTCCATGTCTGTGAATTTAGAAGAGCTCTTGATTCTAGTCAGTCATGAGTGCCTCCATAAATTTACAAGACTCCCATCCTTCACTCTCTTTTTAGAAAAAGGAATAATACTCTTTTATACTTTTTTTTTACCCTTTTATTGTTTTTTTTTAGATATCACAACATGTACCACATACATTTTCAACACAGCGTACCGTGTAGATCCAGGCATGTTTTATGGCATACATTTCAATATGGCAGAGTATGACAAAAAGGAATTATGTAACAAGCTTGTGGCATGAAGACCAGGAGATGAAGTTTTCATATCTACAGTCTGTGTAGAGAAGCTGCTTACTGACGTTATATGTGATGCCTGGTAACAATAAAAATCAAGTTCAGTACATCGTTTCTTATTTCTTTGTAACCAAATATGATGTGTTTTACATTTGGTTCTAAATTTTTTCCAGTTTTATATTTGATCCATTCCAAGAAGTGTTGCCACAAGCTTTTTACATGTACACAGTCAAATAAAAGACTATAACTGCTTTATTCTATGGATGGTGAGAAATCCTCCCTTCCCTACATCTGTCTCTTTTAGGCGTATCCTAAATGTTACACTGTTAAGTGCCCGATCATTGTATGTTTTTACGAAATTATCAAGATCACAGAATAGGATTTTTTATGTCAATGGAAGGCCATGGTCAAGGTCACCTTGCTGTTTTCAGGTTGTTCTCAAACTTCAAAGTAGGTTAGGTCAACAGTGGTCAAGGTCCAAGTAGTCACCTTGCTGTTTAAAACTCAAAGTACTCCCAAGTATCTTAAAACCGCAGCTACGTTCTATTCAACCCAAAATAGACTGTAGCTAGTCCACAAACAGTTTGGGATGGTCAAACATGAATGAAAATACAAGTTTTGCCATAGCGACGAGGAATATCTCTTGACACTGACTTTAAGAGTCAGCCATGACATAAACAAACATTGTGAGCTTGCTCTTGACTGAGTTTTTGAAAGGGCTTGAAATAGTCAGGAATCAATATGTCAACAAATGGATGTGAACATGCAATGATGGTGTTTAATTCATTGGATACGATGTTTCAGTGTTCTGGTATATCAGACATGTGTCCACTGTAAGTCATATTGGTGATATACAGTGCTTATATCTGTTGTAAGTCAGGGCTGTGATATATCTGTTATATCTGTTGTAAGTCAGGGCTGTGATATATCAGACATGTCTGTTGTAAGTCAGGGCTGTGATATATCAGACATGTCTGTTGTAAGTCAGGGCTGTGATATATCTGTTATGTCTGTTGTAAGTCAGGGCTGTGATATATCAGACATGTCTGTTGTAAGTCAGGGCTGTGATATATCAGACATGTCTGTTGTAAGTCAGGGCTGTGATATATCAGACATGTCTGTTGTAAGTCAGGGCTGTCAGACATGTTCTGTTGATATATCAGATATGTCTGTTGTAAGTCAGGGCTGTGATATATCAGACATGTCTGTTGTAAGTCAGGGCTGTGATATATCAGACATGTCTGTTGTAAGTCAGGGCTGTGATATATCAGACATGTCTGTTGTAAGTCAGGGCTGTGATATATCCGACATGTCTGTTGTAAGTCAGGGCTGTGATATATCAGACATGTCTGTTGTAAGTCAGGGCTGTGATATATCAGACATGTCTGTTGTAAAGTCAGGGCTGTGATATAGGGCTGTGATACATGTCTGTTGTAAGTCAGGGCTGTGATATATCAGGCATGTCTGTTGTAAGTCAGGGCTGTGATATATCAGATATGTCTGTTGTAAGTCAGGGCAGTGATATATCAGACATGTCTGTTGTAAGTCAAGGTGATATATCAGACATGTCTGTTGTAAGTCAGGGCTGTGATTTATCTGTTATATCTGTTGTAAGTCAGGGCTGTGATATATCTGCTATGTCTGTTGTAAGTCAGGGCTGTGATATATCTGTTATGTCTGTTGTAAATCAGGGTTGTGTTTTAGGACATGTTAATAAAGTCAGTGTTATGATATACAGAGCTTACATCGGTCATACATCAGGGCCCTAATTGTCAAAACATTCGTAGCCCTAAAAATTCTTAACTTTGATCGTAGCCAATGTGTTAAGAAAGGGCATAAGAAGTTTGTAAGGCTACGATCGTTTCGAGAATAGCTAGCCAGGGTTATAAAATAAAGGATACATTTAAACTTTCAAGAAATAGCACAAATTTTGTAAGATGTGATTTTACTAAATACTCCCTAAAAGAATGGAAACATTTGCCAAAGGTATGACCTACATAATTTTGTGCCAATGTCAAGCTGTTGACTGTAGTGTGGGTCATCATGACTGTGCTCCTACTCAACAAAATGTTCTTGTCAACATTTTAAATATTGACGATGGATTTGGAATCAATGTCAGATTGACCAGTGTGGGAGTTCCTGCAGCCGAGTTGCGCATCACATGCACATTGACAACAACGTGGTGTAACATGAAACTGGCGGCAGTAGACAGATCGTGATGTTGGCTTGTCTAGCTTTCAATGGCCAGGAATTGATGGCAAATGAAAATAGTCACCCCATGTTCGCAGATGCTTCAGCAGATGGAAATGCAATTTTGATGGACAGTTATACTTCTATGTGGGCTAATATAAAAGCATAGTTGGTTTGTGAGTTAGTGAATTGTTATAGGGACTAATTCAGGGCAGCCATCATCCAAATATTTAAAAAGTCCAAAACTATGTACTCGAGACATGTGAGACTTTATTGTAAAATATATGTGATGCTAACCTGTATTCTCAATCACTACTGTACATCCTTATCACTACCCCATTGTACATTGACTTGTCAGCCCATTAATTATTGTATAAGACATTTATAACCTTCATTGGTCATCCCCCTTGGCCGTGTCTGCCATCACATCAACTGGTCAAGGATGTGCTATTGTTTTTCTGTCTGTCCATTGATGAGTAGTCGCCTGTCCATTGTTGTCAAAAACTGTATATATATACTTAGTATGCTCACATCTAGACACAAAAAGGGTACAAGTCCGGGATTCCGACTGTCTGTGTAGGGACGACCACGAGCGGGATAATGCTGCTCGTTGGAAACGCCCTGGGGTTGAGCAGGAACTCCGCTCACCTCATTTATGTCTTGTGTATTTGTTTGTCATGTAACTAAAGAAGTTTGAGCTCAACATATTCCTTCGTCTTGTCAACGCATTGTATGTACACCTCATCTTAAAACATGAGCTAATTCCCCAGTCGACGCATATCCACGCGTTGACAGAATGACGAAGATGTGCTGTTAGTTACAAAGCTTACAATCACATTAATCTCATGTCACAGTTGTTTGTTTGCATTATGGTTGTTGTCTGACCTTGACCTTGGATTCATGCCCTTGATCGTGGAAGTCTGGAGGTGTCCCTTATCAACATGGAAGATCTGTGATAGATGGTGCTAGCCATGTTGAAAAAGATAACATTTATTGATAGTGATGTAGGAGGTTGTATTCCGAATTTACAAGCAGAGTGACACATACGCTCAGATATGATATTTGACAGCTTTGATTCACGATTTCACATTTGTTTCATATATTCAGGTAAAGGGACCACCGACCCATTGTACTGGAACAGAGCATGATTAGGTACCACTGTAACATGAGAGCTGTGTATAAATACACGTACATTGAGAACATTAGTGTAACTAAGATATTATGTCACAGATAACCCATTGAAAAAGGAATCATGTTTCGTAGCAGCAAGAAATTTATATTTTCCAGATTATTGCATATGTTATGGTTAGTGGAGCAAAATAATAAGAACATTTTATCACGAATTGGGAACGTGAGAATATTGAGGTATGAGATTGGATCGCAGGTCAAGGTAAAATGGGCACACGAGGCAAAAGTGCAATTTATCCTCGACAACTGGTATAATGCAAAAAGGGCAAACACGTTCATTTCATGGAATTTTGTAATATCTACCCATTTCTTTTAGAAGACAGTGATTAGATTCAAGAAATTTAAAATATTAATTAAAAAAATGTTACATTGATAAATCGAATACAGTTATGATATTGAAAATAATTCCTTTATAGCAATGAACAGTTCAAGTTTAGAGCAAAATTGAATATTTTCATGACAGATTTGATTCTCAGTGTCTACACATCTTTGCTTAAACTGATGTAAGAATAAATGAGTCCATCCAACACTCTGTTGAATCCAAACCTCAGCGAATCCGT